ATTTGCACTTTATATTTATTAATAAGTTTAATATTTCTGTTAATTGTGTTAATGTTTGCAAAGTTTGTAATATTTCCAACACCTGTGCCAACACCATTAATTCACTCGACATAACAACTGATAAACAATTTAAATGTGACATCAATAATTGTAACAAATCTTGCAAATCTAAATCTCATTTAAATGATCACAAAAATAGGGTTCATTTAAATGTAAGATATGTATGCGATTGGAGTGAATGTCACAAACAGTTTACCAGACAATGGGAAGTGAAAAAACACAAATCAATCGTTCATTTAAAGGAAAAGCCTTTTAAATGTGATATAAATAATTGTGGAAAATTGTTTTCCCAGAAAGGTCATTTAAATGCTCACACCCGCGTACACACGGGAGAAAAACCACCTGTGCGCAATAATAACTTAAATTACATGTGTGATTTCAACGATTGCGACAAATGTTTTGAACACAACTCAGATCTACAAAAACATATGAAAAGACATATGAATATAAAGCCCCATAAATGCAATGATTGTGGGAAAGGGTTTGTCACTACCGGGGAGTTAAGGAAACATAGAAATCGTATACATTTAAGCGAAAAGTTATGTAAATGTAAAGAAACAAATTGTCACAAAACTTATAGATATGAATATGAGTTAAATAAACATTTAAAGCAAGCACATTAAATTGCTATAAAATAATGCTTACTGTGTACCTGTAGGGTTATTTATATTTCATTTCTACCGTTTATTAAAAAATTATTTTTTTTAATAAATAGCTTACTCATTATATTTTATAAAATATTTACATTTGTATTGAATCATATTAATAATATTAATACTAGTACAATTCTACAATATATGATATCCATTTTATGAAACACAACATAATGTCAATTAAATACAACTTCGAGGGAAAGGTAGCCCTAATCACGGGCTCGAGTTCAGGCATCGGCGCCGCCATAGCCTTACTATTCGCTCGAAGCGGTGCCCGAGTAGTGGTCAGTGGTCTCAATGGGGACGACATCTCACGCGTAGCCCACGAGTGCTCACAGGTGTCGCCCATGGCTTACAAACCGCTGGAAGTGGTGACAGACTTCCGCATAGAGGGAGACATTCAACGACTGGTCGACACCACTGTCCACACGTTCGGACGGTTAGACATTTTAGTCAATAACGCCGGCGTGTGTTTGATATCCAAGATAACAGACCCGGAATACATTGAACGACAAAAGGCTTTATTTGATGTGAACCTGAATTCTGTGATAAAGTTAACACATTTATCGGTTAAACATTTGACCAAAACTAATGGCAATATAATTAACATATCGAGTGTTACGGGCATTCAATCGGTATTTAATTTAACACACAATTATTTATCAAGCTTACTAATTTTTATACTTTTTAATTATGTATTTAGTACACAGCTAGCTCAGTCTATTGTATGGTCAAAGCGGCAATTATTATGTTTACACAATGTATGGCAACAGAATTGGCTGACAAAGGCATTCGTGTAAACTGTGTCTGGTCAGTTATTTATTTCAATTTATCTGTGATCATGTTAAGTTGATTTTTGTTTCATCTAAATAAGAAATCGTATCTATAATAACAATATGAAATTTTAAAATAAAAAATATTAAGTTAGTATATTTAGAACTATTATTTGACCATAATTATTACTTTATGTTACCGTAATATACCTGAAAACAAATTAATAAAACCTAATTTACAGTCTTTAAAGACACCAAAAATACTACTGTTACCTATAAAACAAGCATACTTAAAATATAAACATAATCTTATACAATATACATAGAATAAACATTTATTTTGTTTTATATTTGTATAGTCCAAGTGTGGTTCGCACGGCATTTACATTACACAACTGGGAAAATAGTGTCGAATATGAAGCTAGGTGCAATCACCTGGCTGTTTTATATCCAGTCGGTCGTATTGGGGAACCACTAGATATTGCCAATTCCGTGGCATATTTAGCCAGTTCATACGCGTGTTTTACTACTGGCTCAATATTTGTGGTGGATGGCGGTTGTTTAGCTGGCTCATTTTAAAATTATACCAGTTATTAATTCTTAAATAATAACAAAATGTTATCAATGACTTTTTTCGTTTATTACATAATCTGTTTAATTACATAAAAGTTAATTTTATAATAAAATATTTGATAATAAATTAAATAATATAACTTTTCATACAATCATTTTCCGTACATTTGAACGACTTTACACTAAAATTCGTGCAATTTATATGTGACTTTAATTCAGCAGGGAGAAAAACCTACGACCACAATCACTATAACTACATTGGACATTTTTAACTTTTTATGTGCGATTTTCTTTTGTTATGTGAATTATATTCAGATTTTGTTGCAAAACATTTGTCGCATCCATCGAAATGACAAACAAATGGCTTTTCACCCGAATGTATGACTTTGTGTCGTAAGAGAGATGGCTTTAAAGAAAAACTTTTGCCACAATTTTCTTCATTACATTTGAATCTCTTTTCATTCAAATGAACACTACTTTTGTGTCGATTTAATTTATGTTTTGCTTTAAACTGTTTGCGACATTCACTCCAATCGCATACATATCTCACGTTTAAATGAACACTATTTTTGTGTTTAATTAGATCTGAGTTTGAATTATAACGTTGATTACAATTATTAAAATCACATTTAAAAGTTTTTTTGTTTAAATGATATAATTGGTGTCTAGTTAATTCACATTTATTGTTAATCTTGTAATCACATTTAGGCCAAAAACATTTGAAATATCGATAAGTGTTGAGTGTATTAATGGTGTTGTGATTGGAAAGCATTTTATCACTTATTTTACATGAATTCAAATCAATTAAATTGCAATTCATTGACAAATTCACTGCATTTTCGCATTCAATCCCTTCACACAAAACACTTGCATTTTGTGACAAAAAACCCTGAATTTTATCTAAACTTTGACACAAATTACGAAATTCGCACAAATTATTCAACGAATACTTCATTTCACAAACAATTTCTGGAATGATTGCTAAATTCAGTAGAAATATAAAAGTATTTAAAAATATTCAAAAATTACTTTTTTTTCGTAGTAATGCTAGAAAACGATTCCTCAAATGCAGGTACAATACAGGTGTATATTGTGGTGTTTAAGTGTAGGTTATAGTAAACAGATGTTTGTTTCAAATCACATTGTTTTAATTTCAATTCAAGCTAATCCATTGCTTGAAATCGCAGTTAAATATAAATCCCAGGCTTTGAATGTACTGTTCATATCAGGGATTATGGATATAAAATATAGAAATATAGTTAATATAAAAATCTTTAAAAAAATTAAAAAAACAGAGACTGAATTTTGTGTAGACTTTGACACAAATCACGAAATTCACACCATTTCCATAAATCTCTCTTCATTTTACTTATTACCTCACAATTCCTCAGTTGAAATACAATATATCTATAAAACAAATGAAAATAGCATTCATTTGCACTTTATATTTATTAATAAGTTTAATATTTCTGTTAATTGTGTTAATGTTTGCAAAGTTTGTAATATTTCCAACACCTGTGCTAACACTTCAAACTTATTTTCATGGTTTTGTTTAGAAAAGGGATTTATTTAAATTTAACTTTTATCTACAGTATTTAAAATTTATTTTGCTAAGATATTAAATACAAATCTGGATTATGTCAACAAGAATACAATTTTTATACATTTTAATAATAATAAATTATATTAAAATTTTAAACTACTTTATTACAGCAACTGTTGTACACTATTAATCCTTGTTAACTGACATTGATCACTTCATTCAACTTATAACCCGGCAGCCAAATGTCCACCATCAACCACCAGATTACTACCGGTTACAAAACTAGCATGGTCACTGACTAGAAAGGCCACAGCGTTTGCAATGTCTGTCCCTTCACCGCACCGGCCGACCGGATATTTACTAATTAGTGTACCGAATGTCTTACGGAGTACTTCATCGCTAATACCGCTATTCTGTGCCATACGGGTGCGCACCGACCCGGGACTGGTAGGCAATGAGATGCAAAAATTAGTGACTATTTATATTTTAGCGAAAAATACATACCTAATAGAGTTGACACGAATGCCTTTCCCTCCCAACTCAACGGCCATACACTTAGTGAACATAATTACCGCCGCTTTTGACATACAATATGCCGAACGATTTATGACCTTGTTATTT